CTGGAGGACATCGGACATGAAGACACGTGATCAGAATCAGAATACTTTTCTCATCCTCAGGAAATGTAACGACAAAGACCAGAAAAGAAGAAGTAAGATTATAAAGATAAAATATAAAAATGCTTCCTAATACTATGATACATAAATAAAAATAGCAATATATAAAGAAATACTCAGGATATGTGCCGACACTGCTGAGAGGTGATTCAGTCTGAAGCTGTAGATATCAATGTTTTTAATTATTGATTCATCTGCTGAATTTTTTTATCTATGGTTGATTAAATGAAAGAAAACAGTGAAAAACATTGAGAGTTCAGTTCAAAGACTGATCAACTAATCAATACATTGACTGATCATGTCAGTTCTACCTCAGTCCCCTTCAGAAAACAACAGTGAATCATTGTGATCCTGTAAATAGACCGCACCGACACACAGCTCATCTCCATCTGCACCACTGAGTGACAGGCCTTCATCTACCTCCTCCTCCTCCTCCTCCACCTCCTCTTCCTCCCCCTCCTCCTCCTCCTCTTCCTCCCCCTCCCCCTCTCCTCCCCCTCCTCCTCCTCCCACTCCTCCTCTCCACTCCTCCCTCTACCTCTCCTCCTCCTCACCTCCCCCTCCTCACCGCCGCACCTCCCCCCCCCCCTCCACCTCTGCCCCCCCCCCCCCCTCCACCTCCTCCTGCTCCCCCCCCCTCCACCTCCTCCTGCTCCCCCTCCTCCTCCTCCTCAGTGTTTCAGGAGATGATGTAAATGTTTCTTTCATTTCACCACCAGGTCTCTGGAGGATAAGCTGGTCTTTGTCTCTGAATGTGAAATGGTTTCTTGTCTGAACACAGACAGAAGATGTGACCTGAGAGTGAACAGTGAGAGGACCTCAGGTGTCTCAGGTGTCTCAGGTGTGAGGGTGGAGGTGTTAACCAGCAGCAGAGGTCCACAGGCTGAAGGACGGAGTCCTACAGAGACTCAGGGTGTTGTACAGCAGTAACAGTTAAAGCATCCTGCTCTATTTTATTCTGTTCTATTCTGTTCTAGAGCTTAGCTTCAGATCTCTCATTAAAAAGAGAAACACTGCTCTGAGTTTCACACAGTAACCTGCAGCAGCTTCAGCAGCTTCAGCTTCAGCAGCTTCAGCAGCAGCTTCAGCTTCAGCAGCTTCAGCAGCTTCAGCAGATTCAGCAGCTTCAGCAGCTTCAGCAGCAGATTCAGCAGCTTCAGCAGCAGCTTCAGCAGCTTCAGCTTCAGCAGCTTCAGCAGCAGCTTCAGCAGCTTCAGCAGCAGCTTCAGCTTCAGCAGCTTCAGCAGCAGCTTCAGCAGCTTCAGCTTCAGCAGCAGCTTCAGCAGCATCAGCAGCAGCTTCAGCTTCAGCAGCTTCAGCAGCTTCAGCTTCAGCAGCTTCAGCAGCAGCTTCAGCTTCAGCAGCTTCAGCTTCAGCAGCTTCAGCAGCAGCTTCAGTAGCAGCTTCAGCTTCAGCAGCTTCAGCTTTAGCAACAGCAGCTTCAGCAGCGTCATGTTGAGCTAGAGTGAAGCAGATCAGGAGGAAGAGGATCAGCTGTTTAATGAGCAGAGAACAAAGATGAGAGCCAAGGATCAAACACTGTATTTACATCTCTGTCATGTTCACTAACAAGCTGCTGCAGTCAGCTGGGAAAACACAGCATCTGAAGACTCTGTCAGGCTGTACAACAAAATTTAAATAAAGGTTGACATTCAAACAATGAAGAGACCAGGTTCACAATCGAGAACAGGTTCTTGTATTTAAAAAAAAAAAAAAAAAAAAAAAAAAAGACAAAATAAATCAAATAATCCTTCAAGCGTTGTCTCTGTTTAAATTCAGTTTGATTAATTAGATATTTATTGAACCAAGATCAATAAATCACTGATCGTCTCTGGGAAATCTCTGATTGAAATCAAAGTAAACAGCTCCAGCCGGTTCAGACGGGATCAGGTTATTTCCTGTGTCCTGGTCTGAGCCGGTCGCAGCAGCAGCAGCTGATTTCCTGTCAGACACAGGTGGTCTGACACTATCTGCTGCTCCTTCATTAACTCTGACAGCAGGAGAGGACACTCCTCACTGAGCACCTCCGTCATCATCATCATCATCACACAGGATGAAGGTGACCACTTGAAACCTGGCTCCAGTTTCCCTGAAACCAGAAACCTGATGGAGAGAAATGACGTCAGACCACGTCCCATCAGATCCTGATCACAGATTCCATCTGATTAACATTGATCTGATAATGATCATTGATTGGTTCCTGTTCTTAAACCACATAACGACTATACAGAAACCTCCATGTGGATCAATTAATCAGCCGATGCTTATACACAAGATGGAAGAGAATCAGACATGCAGTTCATTTACAATCAGAATCCATCAACAGCCTGTGAGCTCCTTCTCTGCTGTCAATGAGCTGATCGGTTCAATCTGCTAATCAGTTCAATCAGCTGATGGCTTCAGCTCTAACTGCCGATTATGAAATAATAACTGAATCAGTTAAAAACAGAAACAAGCAGCTGGTGTCAAGATCCTGAGAACAAACGTCCCTCTACTTCCAATTAACACTGTCTCATAATTATAAAATATTTACCTAGAATCACAAGAAACTCTAGTTTTAGTTAAAGTTACTATATTTAAAAAATATATTCAATTAAGAAATTTTACAAAAGCTAGGCTAACAGTTCCCCCTGTTTCTAGGATTTGTGCTAAGCTAGGCTAACAGTTCCCCCATGCTTCCTGTCTTCTAGTATTTGTGCTAAGCCAGGGTAACAGCTCAACCTGCCTCAAAGGTTTGTGCTAAGCTAGGCTAACAGTTCTCCCTGTTTCTAGTCTTTTTTCAAAGCTAGGCTAACAGTTCCCCCTGTTTCTAGTCTTTTTTCAAAGCTAGGCTAACAGTTCCCCCCTGCTTCCAGTGTTTGTGCTAAGGTAGGCTAACCCCATCCTTCACTCTGAATATGTAAAGCAGCAGTCGTCTTTGTTGTGTGACAGTAAACCCTCCTTCTGTTAAATCAGCAGCTCTTCCAGTGGACTGCTGTGTGTGGATTAGCATGTTGCTCATATCAATAACAGCATCATGTGACATATGAAGCAGATTTACAGGAAACAAAGAGTTTACATCGACTGTTACCGTCGACCTGCAGATAATCCGTCTGCTCAGATTCTGACCCACATTCATAATCTGACAGTCAAAGAGCGAAACTCCGAGTTACCAACCACGTGCCGCACTGAGGCATGATGGGAGTCACCACCACAATGTTTGGAGACGTTAAATATATCTCAGTGAACTGGAAACACAGCGGGACAATAATATCTGTGAGACGCTGAGAGGCCTCAGTGTTGGCTCTGTTTACGTCTCTGTAACCAGTGTGTCACAGTGAAAATGGCCGAGGGCAAAAACATGATACACACTCGTCTGTTGGTGAATCTCTCCTTTGTTCAACCTCTTTATCACCAGAATAAACTCTGTAGCAGGAGCTGACCGAAATCCAGCTCTGTCAACAGATAAACTCACTTCTTCTTCTTGTGAATGGAGAGAACAACACGAGTGATGTTCAATAAAGAAAGAAAAGATCTGCAGCAGCTGAAGTAATAAAAGATAAACAGCAGACGAGAGCGTGATGGATTACATATTAAGTATTGATCAGTTATCCTCATCCTCACAACCTTTCATCCAGATTTCTATTTTTTTTTAAACAGAATTTTTTTTAATTTAAGGTTGTTTTCAAAAAAGCAGGAAGTCTCACTCTGCCTCAAACAGCTGAAACTTAAAACAAATGTGGATTTCAGAGAATTTCCCTCCAATAATTGACCATTAAAAACCACAGCAACAAACTGTAGGTTGATTTCCCCGTTTAATTCACTGTCTTTTGTGTCTGTCAAAGCACTTTGAGCTGCTTCCTGTGTTTGAAGTGCTATATTAATGAAGTTAATTATCATGATTATTAATAAAAAATCCTGTTTGTTTTGGGGGGTTGTTGTGTCTCCAATGTCGAGGCCAAACCTGTGCTCTGGGTCCTGGGTGATATATTTAAATGTTTACAGTTTTGTATCTGTGACACTTTGCTCTGGATTGACTGCAGCTCTTCTCCTGTGGCCAAGACTCATGGGTATTGTAGTTGCTGTAGTAGCTGATGGTGAGAATATGAACATGCCCTGAGTGTGTTCAGTAACAGTGATGACGGAGCAGGAAACACAGCAGTCCTGGCCCTCTGCTCAGAAAACCCCTGTATTCTGTTTTCCTCTCCGAGTGACGCCTCCCGTCACTTTAAAACCCTCTGAGTGATGTCAGCGCACAGAGCTGCAGAGCGCCTTCTCAGTATGTGAGGCCATTTTACAATAAATTCATTCTCTCTCTCTCTCTCTTTATAAAAGGTGGGGGATTGACGCTCGCCCTCATAAAGCCCCTCCCCTCCCCTCCTCTCCTGGCCTTTTAAAATGCCGAGACACCACTCTGCTTTAATTAGTGCGATGGTATTTGGAGAGACCTGGTCCTGAGACGTGACGTGAGACCAGGTGGACTTACAGCTGGATTTATATCCTGAATGACTCCAGACAGAAGGAGTGATGGATTGTGGGTAGAAAGCTGCACTCAGCTGCTGACTGCAGCTTTTAAATCACACGCACAGGAGGCGATGTGCATTTGTTGGGGACTATTTTCAGCGGCAGATTAATCCACACTTGGAGCTGTACAAAACTACAATATAATATAACTGTGGAATGATCAGGGGGTCAAAGGTCAAACATCCTCAGTAACAGTCCAATTGTTTGAGCTGTCATCAAAGTAAGATCAGACTTCCTCGGCGGGGGGGTGGGGGTGGGGGTTGGGTTCGGCTGTAGGGAGGAGGAAGAAAAAAAAAAATCTATAGCAATTCATTGCCACTCCGTGGTTGCCAGGGTAACAGAGATGAAAGGAGAGACACATTCAGGGTGGGAGGAGATGCTCATTATGTCTGTCTGATTCCAGGATTACCACGGACACGGTGGAGCGCAGAGCCTCCGGG